GGAGCAAGTAAGCCTCCCTGTTCGCTTCAGTGCATGGCTGCCGGCCGCCATCTTGGCTGACAGTTAATTTGCATAAGGATATGCTGATTAGCCGATGGGAAGGGTAGCGGTCGTACACTAATTACCATGTTTCTCTTTTATTAGTGTAGATGTTTCTATCTCTCTCCCTCTCTCTTCCTCTCTGAAATCAATTTTAAGAAGATATATATATATATAAAATTAGAGGTGGGTAGTAAATGGAATGGGAAGAGGTACAAATTTTCAGTTATAAGATGAATAAGATCTAAGGATCTAAAATATAACATGGTGACTATAGCTGATAATACTATATTGTATGATTGAAATTTTCTAAGAGTGGAACTTAAATCTTAAAACCAAAATATAAACAAACAAATAAATAAATGAGGTGATGGATGTGTTAACTCGATTGTGGGAATCCTTTCAAAATGTATGTGAATGCCAAATCATAATAATAATTTAAATATATTACAATTTTGTCAATTATACTTCCATAAAGCTGGGGGGGAAAAAGGTATAAAGCATAAGAAAGCATGATTTGTCGCCGTAACCGGTTTGGCTCAGTGGATAGAGCGTCGTCCTGCAGACTGAAAGGTCCCAGGTTCGATTCTGGTCAAGGGCATGTACCTTGGTTGCAGGCACATCCCCAGTAGGGGGTGTGGAGGAGGCAGCAGATCGATGTTTCTCTCTCATCGATGTTTCTCACTGAAGCTGGTCCATCCTTGCTGCTTGACACAGTCGCTGCAGGAAAGAAACATCTGCACAGCATATGTTTCAAGGGACCTGGCATATATAGCATATTGTTAATATGTTTGCTCTCCTTAGCGCCATGTGTTTTAACCAAGGTCACCTCTCCGAGAAAGGTTGTTTCCCCAGGTAGGAATTTTCCCCTGAAGTTAGGGAGGGAATACAACCCCTTAACTAAGTGCCAGGCGGGTAGTTAAGCTACATAATCTTTACTCCCTGGAATGGAGATAAGAAATGCCCTAACCTTTGCAATAGAAATTGACAGGATTAAAATCGACTGGTATAAATACAGATGTAACAAGACAATAAACATCAGATCCTGATCAGTTCCTAACCAGAACTTGGCCAGAACTTCACTGGAGATCCTGATCAGATCCTAACCAGAACTTGGCCGAAACTTCGCTGGAGATCCTGATCAGTTCCTAACCAGAACTTCCTGGCTAGAGATCCTGGCTAGGCTGCTGATCAACTGAACGCTGTCTCTGTGTCATTCCTTCTTCGCCGACTCTGTCCACACCTTTGGGGACCCCGGCGGGGCTGTGGGCTCGAGGCCGCCCCGCTGCGGCTGGGCCTCTCTCCTCTCAAGGGGAAGTGTTTGTTAGGAACAGGGCAGGGGGAGATGTATGTCAGAGAAAACCAATGTGACTGTACTTTTAAGAAATCCATTTAAAATGGAAGTGAAATGAGGCAAGACTCTTCGTAAAGCATTAGTGTGGAATCATTGAATCGTGAGTAGGTAGGGCCACAGGTGAAATACTGCCCAGGTCTGACATGTGCCATGTCTCACGTAAATATTGTGTTTGTTATTTCAGATGTAAGAAAAACAATAGATGATTTAAAAAAAGTGATGACAAATTTTGAATCCAGAGTTGAATTTACAGAAGATTTGCAGAAAATGAGTGATGCTGCAGGTGATATTGTTGACATAAGAGAAGAGATTAAAAGTGACTTCGAATTTAAAGCAAAACACCGAATTGCTCATAAACCTCACTCCAAACCCAAAACTTCAAATAGCTTTGAAGCGGATTTTGCAAATGTTGGATCCAAGGATCTGCTCGCGGACCAGGAGCTGTGGGCTCGGCTGGAAGAACTGGAGCGACAGGAGGAGCTGCTGGGCGAACTTGAGAGTCAGCCTCCCACCGTGACTGCAAACGGAGAAGACACAGCGTCTTCCGAAGAGGAGAAGGAAGACGCCAGCACACGTGTGAACAGACGTGTGAACAGACACGTGAATGGGACGCATCCAGCGGCCGAAGCTGCGGCTCCCAGCTGTCGGCCCGCGGACGACACGGTTGCGGAGCTGCTCCGCAGGCCGAGCTGCGCTGTGAACGGCTCTCGTTGCCCCCTCAGTGATGAGGATGAGGATGGTGACGACGACGATGCTCTTGGGCCAGAGGCCAGCTCTGTACCAACCATATACTTTTCTCACACCGTCGAACCCAAGCGGGTTCGAATCAATACTGGGAAAAACACCACCTTAAAATTCAGTGAGAAGAAGGAAGAAGCCAAACGGAAGCGAAGGAACAGCTGTGGTGGCCACCCGGCCCCGGAGCTGCCCACGATCAGGACCCCTGCGGACATCTACAGGGTCTTCGTGGACCTGGTGAACGGGGCGTACATCCCTCGGAAGTCCATCCTGAAGTCGCGCAGCCGCGAGAACAGCGTGTGCAGCGACACCAGCGAGGGCAGCGCCGACTGCGAGGAGCGCCGCGGGCTCCTGCGGAGTGTCAGCTGCCAGGAGGCCGCGGGCAGCGACGCCGGCGAGAGCATTTTGGAGGAGGAGCAGGAGCAGCTTCCAGAGACGCTCCTGCCCGCGCCCGGGACGCTCGAGGCTTTTTCTGGAACTGTAATAGAGAAAGAATTGTCGCCCTGCCTCGCCCCGCACCCGGCCACGGTCCACCCTGTGCTGCCCACGATCCCTGAGCGGAGAGAAGTCCCGTCAGAAGGGCCAGAGGTCACCAAGCGGGTGTCCAAGTTCAAAGCCGCCAGGCTGCAGCAGAGGACCTAGGCTGCAGCAGAGGACC